CCCCAAACCCCAAAACCCCAAAACCCCAAAACCCCTTTTGTATTAAGGATTATTGAAAATAATCTATCACTGGTGATTATAGTCTCGTCTTCTTAGTCTTGAGATTAGCGCCGTAGACTAGTTTGTCGAGTTTACTAATTCTCCCTTCTAATTCTCTGTTTTCCTTGATAGCCTTTAAATATTCCTCTCTCATCACCTCCATTTCCTTTTTGGCCATCTTTACTTCTTTCTGTGCGCTAATCTTTCTCGATATCAATTTCTTATTCTCAGCCATTTGCATATCTGCTATCTTCTGTGAAGACTTAAGAGACTCTACTAGATCATAATTAGACGCCTCTAGGTCATTTATACGTGTGTTAAACGATAGCTTGAGGTCGCCCATGTCCTTTCGAAGTCATGATATCTCTTTATTTCTTGGCCTGAATTACTTTAGAAAGATCCTCTTGAGCTGCCTTGTGCTCTGATCTATATGATGGGGCAAAATAGTTACCTCATGCTGCTGATTAGTTTTTCATATTCCTTCTTCAACTGATCTCTATCTAGGTCAAACCTTTCTCTTGAGGAATTGATCCTGTACTCGTAGTCCCCTTTTGTGCAGTCAAAGATTTCTACCTGATTGTTTAACTGCTGAGTGAGATTATCAACTTGAGATTGAAGGTCAAACTTTACTCTCTTAAAATCTTCATTAAGATCTGTGTATTTGAGAGTCATCTTAGAAAGTTCATTTTTCAACTCATAAATTTGGTCTTTTGACTCAGTCAAAAGAGTATCCTTTTCTCTAATGATTCTTGCAAGTTTATTAGATTTTTCTTCATTTAATTTAATCATCTCTGTTTTATGTTTCTCTGAGTTCTCTTCTAACTGAGCATTAAGATAATTAATTTGATCTAAGAGTTTGATTTTTGAATCATCATTTTCTTTGTAAATTCTATCAATTCTCAATTTCAAGCTTTCTCTTTCGTTTTGATAAAAACTCTGAAGCTCATCCACATACTCCTTCGAGTACATCTGTTTATCACTCTCCACATCAGGGATAAAGATATTCTCAGCTGATTTGAACTTATCCTCTGAATGGACAGGACTGACTCTCCTTGACTCTGCCTTGTCTGACTTCGTGTATGCTTTGATTGGTTCGTACCTGCCTTGACTTTGCGACATGCAACTCCCAGCTGCGTTTACTATGTATTTGTACAGACAACATACTGGAATTTTCTTTGTCTTCGTACAGAGTTTGCAAGTCAATGTTCTTGAGTGTCCTGCTTTTGTTATTCACGAAATCTGTGCATGAAATCGGAGTGACATGGCTACATATTACACAAGTGCTTACTCAAACTCAAACCTGACCATAGAGTCTCTGCCTGTCCGCTTTAACATCATATCGTCATTATTTACTTGTATTCTTCAAAATGCTTTTAGGCTCGTCTGGTGATGGTGCCAGGTTCGACAGCTTCCGACTGGCCCAAGTGGGCTCTGTATGTTTCGGCGATGCAAAGTCTCCATATACGTTCCTAAACATTTAAATTTCAAAATTAACACCCTCGGAGGGGTTTTGGGGTTTTGGGGTTTTGGGGATTTGGGGTTTTGGGGTTTTGGGG